GTTTGAGGAGAGCGTCCGCAAAAGGAAGGTGGCCGTCAAAGACCCTAGACGCTCAAGCCAGGACCGGGAGCAGCAGAGGGAGCGCGCCGTAGCTCCGAATCTGTTCCTGGAACAGCGCCTGCGAAAGCCTTCTGGGGACAGCCGCCCTATTGCAGGCCCCCGGGCTTCGCGCATATCTTCCAGAGGCTCTCAAGTCTGGTGCCTGGGGAAAAGGCGCAGCGGGTTCGGGCGAGATCCTTCAGGGAGAGAAAGGTGCCTTCCAGAGGGGGCTCCGGATTCTGTTCCTTGGATCTCGGGACTGGGGAGCAGCGACCCGCCCCGGGCCTGGCTGCGTTCCTGTTTTCCTTTCCCTGGGTGGAGTTGCCTCGACGGCACACGGGAGCCCGGCTCAGCCAGGCTCGGGAGACTGCGCCGGGCTGAGGAAGGCTAGCCCACCGTCGGCCTGTGCGCAGGAATAGCCAAGGGCCCAGAGAGCTTTATGCAGAGTTAGAGGCCTGGAGTCACAGTTTCTATAAACTCAAGACAGAGAACCATAAGTAATAACCCCTTCCATTTGCTAGCGATTTTTGTGCTTTACAAACTCATGCACACAATCTCTTCCTTAAATACTTGGATCCCTAGTACAACCTGGGAGGTACACAAAGGAGATTATGACAATTTTTGGTTTTGTTTTGTTTTGTTTGCTGCTCAGGAATCAGGTGCTAAGAGGTTTTGTTTCCTTAATTCAACATTTCTTGAGGCACTGGAAGATAGAAGGATAAATAAAACAGGGTTTCACTGTAAAGGAGGGAGGCCAGTAAACAACACCATAGTTTTCTGATTTCTACTCAAGTGCTCTGCCTACCACCCCTGAGCATTTTAAGATCAGAAATGGTGAAGAACCTCCCCCCCCCCGCTACACACACACACACACACACACACACACACACACACACACACCCCTTCTCTATCTCAGTTGGATCCCAGAGTAACATTGCCACAAAGTAACTATGTGCATATTATTTGGGTGATTTATTGTTAATTTATAAGCTCTGTGTGGGTAAGAGCCACATCTAGCTTGTTTAAAGCTGAATTTTTAGGCCCAGCACAGAGCCTGGCACAGAGCCAGCACTCAATAAATATTTGTTGACTAAATCACGAATTGCGATAAAACTCAGAGCAAAATATCAGCACCAGGGAACATGGTCTCTCACCGTCCTAGAAGAGGTGTGAAGGACCATGAAGAGAACTAGAAAAATGTGGTGGTGAGGATTGGGGAGGACTTTTCATTCCTCTTGCAGTCCAAGTGACAGGCCCTGAGTCATACAGCTTTCTGTATGAGCCCTCTGTTCTAAATTCTCAAATAAGTGACTCTGGAGGGACAGAAAGACATTTCCCTTCGGCCACACAGGTGGTGAGCAAAGGTTGATGGCAGTTCCGCTTGGCCCCGCCCGGCCTGGGCCTGAGCCTGAGCCTCCGCGGCTCCTTAGATTCCAGACCAAGCTGCAGAGAGCAAAGCAGTGTGGTGGGGATTGAGGTGGGCGCCTGCGGCCCCACCAGGGAAAGCTCCTTGAGAAGCCTGAATTGGGCCCCACTGCGACCACTCGGCCCCGGGGGGGAGTTACTGAAGGCACAAGGGTCCTACAGGAGGGAACTCAGGGTTCCCAAGTGTTCCCTGCAGCCGAGAAGACATTACTAGTTTAACCGGGGTCGCCCTACTTAAGATGACTCTGGGAGGCAGCTAAAAGAAAGGACACTCCTTGGCTAGGAAGAGGCCTTGGTTAGGAAGAGGTGTTGGGGCCAGGGGAGGGACTCTCAAGTCCTCTGCTTGATCAAGCTCAGAGATTGAGGTATCAGTCTTCCCACCCCCACCCCTCCCGCTAGACGTTTTAGTCTTCAGGCTTATTCCTGGCAGTGCAGCACATCTGGCAAAGAGTGTGGGGCGGTGTGTGTGTGTGTGTGTGTGTGTGTGTGTGTGTGAGAGAGAGAGAGAGAGAGAGAGAGAGAGAGAGAGAGAGAAAGGGGCAGAGGTAGAAGGGCGGCTGGGGGCGGGCGCCGCAAGGTGCTGCAAAGGCCCAGGTGAGGTCTAGCCCAGAGCTAGTGCGGGTGCGCGCGACTGCGGGGGGAGGTGGCCGCATGATCTTGGTTGGGGGGGAGGGGTTGGGTGGAGCAGCAGCCGTAGCCCGGCGCCGCCCCCACCCCCCAACCCCAGCTCGGGCATCAGCTCTAGGCGGTGACTGAACGCCTGCTGTGTGACTGGGGGTCACGGTCTTGTCTGCAAGCCTTGGGCAGGGGCGTGGGGGCAGGTGGGGAGCTGCTAGCCACGTGCGCCGGAGCCTGCTGCGGGGCTGGAAAGCTGGAAAGCTGCCGAGGACGAAGGCCGAGGCTCAGGGACTGCTCAAGATGCACCTAACTCTCCCCTTCACTCAGACTCAAGGCCTTAAAGGCAGGGCAGGGTGGTGGGTGTACGAATGACGACAATACAGAAATCTCAAGCTCTGGCAATGGAATTAATTTTCCAAAGCTTTCAAAGCGCTTTTCTGGGCCCGATCTTATTTGAATCTCAGAGAAACCTTGTGAAGAATGACCTCCATTTCTAAATGGCATTGAGACTGGGAGAGACGTACAACATTCTATACTTGGTGTTTCTTATACTTACCAATAATATGAGATAATGGAGAGGGAGAAAGAGAAAGAAGACAGGGGATTGGGAAACCCACCCGGTCAAAACACAGTCCAGGGGCTAGGGCCACCTGCAAACAAGATCCGGATTCAGTTTTGTCCGCTCTCCTCGACGGTTCACTTGAGCCCAGCGTCGTCTTCCCTCCTTGCTCCCTGGGCTTTGACACCACATCGACCAAAGCTCAGTTGGACTCTGAGTCTTCCTGAGAGCGCCCCCCAGAGAAGCCCCCTGGTAAAAGGGCAAAGAACCGTCTTGGTGCTTGTCCTTCACGGTACAACCGACAAGCAGGTCTCGGTGCCCAAATGCAAGGTTGCCTGCCCCAAAGCCGCCAAGGGGGATGCACGAAAACGTGGGCCCATGGAGGAGGAAGAGGGTGCCCTGGGCTTTCTCTGTTAAGCGACATAGGTGGTGAGGAAAGCAAATGTTAGTCTAGAAGTTGCCTTTGTATTGAGGGAGTACAGAGCACTTCTCAAGGAGAGAACTGAAATGTTACAATAACAAGCCAATAAACAAAACAACTTTCCCTTACTACAACTGCTGTTAATGGGAAAGGCGCCTAACCTGCTGAATTAAATCGTTCAAAAGTGCCTGTTCATCATTGGGAGCTCCTTCTGTACAAGGAGCGGAAGGAAAATGTGAAAACAAAAAACAAATTCGAGAAGCCTCCTTAATCGGCCCCCGCAGTGTCTTAGAGGCCCCAGCCGGGCCAGGGAGCGCTCCACCCTCCCAGCCCCTATCCCAGAGAGGAGGCTAAAAGAGCCAAAGAAAAACCAAACCAAACAACAAAACGTTTAGAATCCAAGGGGGGAAAGTCGGAGTGGGTCTCAGGATCTGCGCCACGCAGGGGCGCGACACTGTAGTCCACTGGACTGGAGGCTAGGGCCTGGCCGGAGCAGCAAGGCGGGTGCCTCTGGCCCGGCTGGGGAGCGAAAGCCCACAGCTCCCCCTCTCCAGGCGCCCAAGGACCCTCAAGGCGCGGGGCTCACACTTGAAGCCTGGGAACGCGCAGACAGGAAACCCACTTCCTCCTAAGCAGTTTCTTGCTCGCCGGATGAGAGGCGCCCAATTGAAGCAGAATGATCCTCATCTACTAATATCCAGCGTGGCCACAAAGCGACTGGCCATTTACGCCGCCACTTTAAACAAAGATATTTGGTTATTCCCGGGGAAGCAAGTGCACTTTTGCATGGCTGAGCTCCGGGCGGAGGCGAGCCTCAGCCCAGCCTCCCGCCTGCTGGGCTGCTCGCGCCTTGGGATTCGCCCCCTCCCGGCCAGCTGGTCCCGCCGGGGTTCAGGCTCAGTTCCGCCCGGCAACAGGCGGGCGGGTACTCACGACGCTCCCTGCCCGCGCCCTCCCTGAAGCATCAGAGGGGAAAACAGCGTGGCCCTGGGCTCGGGTGCTGGGGCTGTGATGTCCTCCGAAAGTCAGCTCCAGCCCCAGAACCCTGCGTGTCCGGGCGATGGGCGAGGGTCGGGGACACCAGGTTTGTTCGAGGTGGGGCAACTTCAGCAATGGCCCTTCGGGTTAGTGCCCCCCAGCTTCCCAGCACTAGCGGCCAGTAGTGTGCTTGCCTTGGCCGGGAATGGGGGGTGGGGGGAGAGGGAGCCGCGTGTGGGTTGTGGGGGGCGTGATGTATGGGGCCCTGGACCGCTGAGAAGACCCTGAGGTGGGGGGAGGGGGACGCGGGGATCTGGGACAGCCTCTCGGAGGCAGCCGATCCCTTGCTCAGCGTCCCCTCCGCCCGCTGGGATTCTCTCTCGGGTAGGGGGAAAGGGGGCGGGGAGCAGAGGTGTCCCTCTGACGGCGGCAGAAGAGGCAGACAGACGGACAGACACGCAGACCAACAGTGCGGCCCCAGGGTTCGTCCCCAGACTCGCGAGCTCGTTTGGTGGCGACTGGGGCTCGGCGCCGCGAAGCCCGATGTGGTCCGGAGGCAGTGGGAAGGCGCGGGGCTGGGAGGCCGCGGCGGGAGGGAGGAGCAGCCCCAGCAGGCTCAGGTGAAACCCCTACCTTGTCCCTTGGCCCCCTCCCTCTAAAGACTTGTCCCCGCCCGGGAACCCCGGCTGTATTGGAAAGTGGTTCACTTTGTAACTCCGAAAGTTGGTTGCAAAGCAGCATTCACCTTCCTTCCTCCCCACCATCCCTCCTCCTCGGCTACTCCTCACCCCACCTCTTGCCCTCCCCTCTCTCGGTTCCCTCCTCCTTTCCCTCCCCCCCTCTCCCCCCGCGCGCCGCCCGCACCCCACAAAAAATGGGGTGGGGGTGTCCGGGGAGGGGGGTAAAGAAATGCTTTGGGTCGCGTCTCTGCCTCTCTCTCTCTCTCTCTCCCTCTTTGAGACCTAAAAATCCTGACAAGTGAAACTTAAAGGTGTTTACCTTGTCATCAGCATGTAAGCTAATTATCTCGGGCAAGATGTAGGCTTCTATTGTCTTGTTGCTTTAGCGCTTACGCCCCGCCTCTGGTGGCTGCCTAAAACCTGGCGCCGGGCTAAAACAAACGCGAGGCAGCCCCCGAGCCTCCACTCAAGCCAATTAAGGCGGACTCGGTCCACTCGGTTACGTGTACATCCAACAAGATCGGCGTTAAGGTAACACCAGAATATTTGGCAAAGGGAGAAAAAAAAAAGCAGCGAGGCTTCGCCTTCCCCCTCTCCCTTTTTTTTCCTCCTCTTCCTTCCTCCTCCAGCCGCCGCCGAATCATGTCGATGAGTCCAAAGCACACGACTCCGTTCTCAGTGTCTGACATCTTGAGTCCCCTGGAGGAAAGCTACAAGAAAGTGGGCATGGAGGGCGGCGGCCTCGGGGCTCCGCTGGCGGCTTACAGGCAGGGCCAGGCGGCTCCGCCGGCCGCGGCCATGCAGCAGCACGCCGTGGGGCACCACGGCGCCGTCACGGCCGCCTACCACATGACGGCGGCGGGGGTGCCCCAGCTCTCGCACTCCGCCGTGGGGGGCTACTGCAACGGCAACCTGGGCAACATGAGCGAGCTGCCGCCGTACCAGGACACCATGCGGAACAGCGCCTCGGGCCCCGGATGGTACGGCGCCAACCCAGACCCGCGCTTCCCCGCCAGTAAGTGAGGCCGCCCCACTGCCGGGCCGCGGGCTGAGTACGGGAGGCGCGGGGAGAGCAGCCAAGCAGGCGCAGCGCCTGCCGGCTGCGCACCGGGCGTCAGGGTGGGCGGCCCGGAAGCCGCGCCGGGGAGTAGGGTGCGGGAGCTGGGGATTCTTCCCTCTGCTGGACTGAGGGGTCCCAGGAGAGACACTTGGTAACGCTGGGGTCATGCGGGTAGGTGCTAGTATTCAGCGTCTCCCAGATGCGGCCGACGGGCAGCTCTGCTCGGCTCGGGAGACCTCAGAGTGCCCAGGGATCGCCCTCCCGCCCCCCAAAAAACTAAGGAAGCTGGGGGCAAGCAGGGAGCAGAGAGGCGCGGCCTGGCCGGGCGGGAGGCTGCCCTACTGCGACGCGCTGAGGGGACCCGCCCGGCTGGCTCTCCAGTCTAGGCAGGTGGAAGGGCGCGCGGCTTCAGAGGGGGCTCTCAATGGGCCGAGCAAGTGCCCTCACTGGGGCTGACAGGAGAGAGCGGCCAAGAGGCAAAGCGTCTGGGACTTTAGCTTTCGAAAGTGAACACCCCACTCTCCCAAACTCCCAAAGTTGGGGTCTACGGCGGGACCCCAGCTCTTGGTCTGGGCCCAGTCCGCCGCCTGTGGCCCGCTCACCCAACGACTCTGGCCAGGGTTGGGCAAGAAAGGACCAGAAGCGGCCTTTCTCCACTTTGCTTTTGGGCTGGAGCCCTGAGACTGAGGGAGGCAACCGGGGTTGAGGTGGGGAGCTTTCCAGCAAATCCCTCGACGTCTCGGCCTGGGGCAGGCGCTAACTCTCCTCGGAACTTAGGCCTCTCAGGGCGGAGGCGGCCTAGGGGAGGAGGGCGCCGTCGGGGTGGGCCGGGCCGGCCAAGGGCGCGGAAGGCCGAGGTGGCCTGGCCCGGCCCGGCCCCCGCCGACGCTGTGCGTTTGTCGCTTACAGTCTCCCGCTTCATGGGCCCGGCGAGCGGCATGAACATGAGCGGCATGGGCGGCCTGGGCTCGCTGGGGGACGTGAGCAAGAACATGGCCCCGCTGCCAAGCGCACCACGCCGGAAGCGCCGGGTGCTCTTCTCCCAGGCTCAGGTGTACGAGCTGGAGCGACGCTTCAAGCAACAGAAGTACCTGTCGGCGCCCGAGCGGGAGCACCTGGCCAGCATGATCCACCTGACCCCCACGCAGGTCAAGATCTGGTTCCAGAACCACCGCTACAAGATGAAGCGCCAAGCCAAGGACAAGGCGGCACAACAACAACTGCAGCAGGACAGCGGCGGCGGCGGCGGCGGCGGGGGCGGGGGCGCCGGGTGCCCGCAGCAGCAGCAAGCGCAGCAGCAGTCGCCGCGCCGCGTGGCCGTGCCGGTCCTGGTGAAAGACGGCAAACCCTGCCAGGCGGGCGCCCCGGCGCCGGGCGCCGGCAGCCTCCAGGGCCACGCGCAGCAGCAGGCGCAGCAGCAGGCGCAGGCGGCTCAGGCGGCCGCGGCGGCTATCTCAGTGGGCAGCGGTGGCCCTGGCCTGGGTGCACACCCGGGCCACCAGCCGGGCAGCGCGGGCCAGTCTCCGGACCTGGCGCACCACGCCGCCAGCCCCGCGGCGCTTCAGGGCCAGGTGTCCAGCCTGTCCCACCTGAACTCCTCGGGCTCGGACTATGGCGCCATGTCCTGCTCCACCTTGCTATACGGTCGGACCTGGTGAGAGGACACCGGGCCGGGCCGGGCCCAGCGCGCTGCCTCATCGCTTTCCCTCCTGCCGGCCACACATCACCAAACACCCGCCGCTCCCTGCGCTTCGACTTTTCTTAAGAATCTGTCCCGTTTAGACCAAGGGAAAAAACACAAAAGCCAAACTGCTGGACGTCTTTTTCTTTTCCTTTTTCTTTTTTTTCCTAAAATTTGTGGGATTTTTTTAAAAAAGAAAATAAAAACAACCAAGTGAATCCAATTCTTTAAGGAGTCTTTAAACCGAGAAGGACATAACAAAAAACAGCTTTTGGGGTGTCTGTTAGGTGATTGAAATGGGTTTCTCTCGCTCAGGCAGGGTGCAGTTTGGAGAGGGCTCTACAGTGACACAGCTCTGGACTCTAAAGATCGCAAACTTCACTCTGGGTACACTGTGCCAGCAAGGTGGACTCGCTTGTAAATACCAGGATTTCTTTTGAAGGGGAGATGGGGGCTGGGGAGAGGAAAGACTCTACGACAGGACCCGCATGTCATTGACACAAAGGAAATGCCCCCTCCCAGCGCCCGCTGGCTGCCCAGGCTCAGCCCCGGGAAGAGCCCTGGCTAAAATTGTTTTATGTTTGATGTGAACTTGTAGCTGTAAAACGCTGTCAAAAGTTGGACTACACGCCTAGTTTTTAGTAATCTGTACATTTTGTTGTAAAAAAAAAAAAAACAAAAACAAAAACCCAGTCCCTGTCCCCAGCCCATCATATTTTTTATGGGCATTGACAAATCTGTGTATATTATTTGGCAGTTTGGTATTTGCAGCGTCAGTCTTTTTCTGTTGTAACTTATGTAGATATCTGGCTTAAATATAGTTCCTAAGAAGCTTCTAATAAATTATACAAATTAAAAGGATTCTTTTTCTGATTAAAAGTCCACCTTTTGTTTGGTTTTGATTTGGCTTTAAAAGGCATTTTTTTTTTTTGGTGGGGGTGGGGGTGGCTCATCATTGGCCTGATGGGAATTGGCATTGTTTGGGAGCTAAAAGGATCCTAAACTAGCAAAGGAGCTGGGCCCAGAGTCCTTGTCCCATAGGGAAATGGAGTTTTGTTCTGTCTCCGAATTGAGTAGAACCAAACCTTGAACAGTCCTGGGACTTGGCAATATAGAGGAAAAAAAGCTAAACTACTTCCATCAGGAGGGAAAGGGAGAACAGAAGAGAAAGAGACCAAAGGATTAGTTTTTAGATCCAGGCTTCTGTTTTTTGAAACCTCAGAAGTGTCTACTGTGGTTTTATACAGCTAAGTCAACAATTAAAACTTTAAAACGTTTTCAATAACATACATTTTAAATAATCCTGCATGAGAAATCATTTTTATGGAACAGATGGTCCCCGTAGATTTCAACACAAATCCTTATTTCTAATCTGCTGCAGAGCCTCATCGGAATTAGAATCTGGTGGGAGGCTGTTTTCAAAAATGGGGAAGTCTATCTGGGTCTTGTTTCTGCTCTGAAACAACTATCCCTATGCAGAGTTGGACATGGATTCCCAGCCTCTCAGGGTCCTTCTGGTTCTGGGAGATTTTTTTGACTTGGCTACTGGCCTGGAGACACTGAAGGCAGGACTTTGGAAGCTGGGCTTTCCCTCTTTGTTCCACCGGTTTCCATCTCTGGGCTCCTAAATATCTTTGTAGTAAGGAATCTTTCTCCTGTTCCCAACTTTCTACTTCTCACTGCCCCGGCCACCCCCGCCACCCCAGCAAAAAAAAACCAAACCAAAACAAAACAAAACAAAAAACAAAAAACTTCAATCTTTCTTACTACTTTGAATTTCCCGGTCTCTTTGGTACCCAGATGTGGTTGTTAGGGAACTCTCAGGGTTGCCCTAGAGAAGGGAGGAGGAAAGAGTGGTTCTGGACAGAGAGAAATCATAGTCCCTAGATGGGCTGTTGCCCCTTCTGTGTCACCTTTGATAAAGCTACCTAGCAAAAGTAGGTTCCTCTTAGCCTGAAAGTGTTTGTGGGGGATTGATTCATACTTGCCTTGTACTCATTTCATGCCTAGAATTTCTTTCTTTTTCCTTTCTTGCCTCTCTTCATCTTTTCTTCCTCTCTTTTCCTCTTATTCTGTCTCCATCTCTCTCTGTCACCCAACTTCCACCTTACCCCACCCCTAGGAACTTGTTAGGGAAATTGCCTAGGCCAAGGCCTTGCTCCAGACCAGCAGTTCCTGGGAGGCTCCTCACCCGTGGTGCCTTACGAGTAGGGGCCAGGGTGGGCTTTATCTCCTGGGTCTGGCTACTGAGATATGGTTTCCAATATCCAAAAGAGACTCAGAGAATCCAAGGATGGTTGCTTGGGTCTACAGAGTGTGCTGGTGGGAGAAAATCTCAGGAGGCCTAGCATTTTGGAAAACAAGCAAAAATCAGTAAAGTTTGAATACTTGTGTTGAAATGAGCAGCTGTGTTCCCGGGACAGGTTGTGCAGGTGGTCAAATCACAGCTCCACCGGGGCTTGGCCACTGTGGTCCCGGGACAGGGTGTATAGGTGGTCAAATCACAGCTCAGCCCAGGGCCTTGCCCGGGGAGATGTTTGCTCTAAGGTCCTAATTCCGTGGGCATGGGAGCTTCCGCTTAACCTGCCCCAGACCCAGCACAAGTCTGGTCTGGGGCGGGCGGGGCTTGCGGTGCCTACAACTGGCAAGGACGGCTGCCCCCTCCCCCCACATCCTGGCCCAGAGGGGGCACCTGAGTCACAATTTTAGTGGGTTATGGTACCCTCGGCCTTAACACCCTTGCGCTGGAAGGAGTTTTATGAAATACATTCTTCTCCCTGCCACCTCGAGCCGGCTTAGTTTGAAGTCTGTTTACTTGTTAGGGTTGGGGGAGGAGGGGGGAATGTGAGTTGAGCCGGGTCTGCGGATGGAACCAAGACTAACAGAGACTTGGCCGCTTCTCTCCATCCATCACCCCTGGCCCACCAGCTCCAGCTCCTGGCCGGGAGATTGTAGTAACTTCAGGAATCGGCCCTGGAACGTGAGCTGAAGCTTTTTTATAAAGAAATATGTGCGCGCTGGGCGCAGCAAAAGACCTCAGGCTGGGGACATTCCCCACCCCACATCTCGGTGACCACCTGCGAAGCCGATTGTCGTCTTCCGCTGGAGTGGACCTCCCCTAGGTCTCCAGCATCTCTGGCCCATGTTCCGGCCTGGAGAAATCAGCCTTTTGGGGATTTCCCTGGCGCTGAAGTGCTGCAAGAGCCAGAAGCTTCCCCACGTAGGGGGGCAGCGCAGTTGGCTCCAAGATCCCAGAGAAGCTGAGCACCCCCGTCTCAGCACCCCACCCATCCCCAAGCCCCGAGGGCTGCGGAGAGTGGGGGAGATTTTGCAGACAGCATCCCCCCTTTCCTCCTCTCCCCCCCCCCACCCTACCAAGTAAACACGGGGACTTTCTCGAGAGCCTTGGAGTGCGGCTCTAGTGGCTTCGGGGCCTGAAACCCCAGGCTTGGCTTGTTTGATGTTTAGCATCCCAAAGCGGCACACCACCCCCGCCCCAGCCTGGGAACCTGGAGCTGTGGGTCGGAGAGGGAGGAAAGCCGCCCTCTCAGTCGGCCAGGCCAGGGGACTGGGCTAGGTTCAGGGAAGGCGAGAAGAGCGGGACAGAGATGCGCTGAGCGGGGGAGAAGGGAGTCCCGGCTGCCGCCGCCCCCAACAGAGGCACTTGTGGGTACAGCTGGAGTCCTCAAGGCCGGGAGGCGGGTGGGGGCAGGGAATGCCTCAGCAGCCGGGGCAGCGGCTCTGGGATAGGGGCTGGCCCTGAGGGAGGTAGCTTGGGGCCCGCGAAGGAAAGCAGACCCAGGCCGGTGCCGACGGTGCGAGAAACGCTCGGGGCACTTACTCCTGGTGGCGGAGGAGGCCCTGCGCGCTCCAGTCCCTGGGCCTCGAGGAGGCAAGGTCTTCTTCCCACTGCTTAGGACTTGGCCTTTCAAAAGGGAAGACTTGCTCGGGAGCCTTCCCAGGGATTTGAAATCCTCCTGGAGGCAGGGTTAGGCCTAGAGCTGGCATCGAGGTCTCCTATTTTGAGACCCCAGGGAGGAATTCTCAGACTTTGAGGCCGCACACTCTCGAGAGCGCTCACCGGCGTGAGTAAGCGCGTCGGTGAGGGGCTATCTCCAGGCGCGAGTGCACAAAAGGTAGCGCGAGTCTCTTCTCAGGCGACTCGAGATAAGAGGAAATGAGAGCGGGGTTTTCTGACTTCCAACTCATTAGGGACCAGGTAAGGTCAATGCTTTCTCTATTATGTCTTTATCTTAAAAGCGGGTCAATTTAAGATAAGGGAAAAAAAATCCAGGAACTGTGTGAACCGTGCTGATAAAGACTGACCCCTTTCCAGAGCTAAAAGCAAGCCAGGCAGACATTCATTTTCTATAAACAAGAGAGTTGTGAGAAGCTGCCTTGAATTCTGATCGAATGTCTCCAGTCTCTCTAGACATCGCTCACCCCCTCCCCCAATTATGAGAGCGGGGAGCAGAGTGAACGGGGATATTATTTGTGGAGAACTAGAAAGCCTGTTGGGAAATGTGAATCTGAGATGATATGGCTCTTAGGCATGGTTTGCTGGCTTGTTTGTTTCAAATGCGTCTTTCTTTTAGAATGGAAGGAAAGTGACAGACATGAGTATTGGGAGGGATGACGCTGAATGTTTTCCTTGCTCAGCCAGGTTCCTCTTAAGAGATGCTGGACACCACCTTCCTCTGGCCCTTCCTGACTTCCTGACTGGTGTGTTTGTGGTTGTGCAATTGTGTTCTTTTTGGCTCCAGGCCACCCTCTGTGGGGCCGGATCTGGGCTCCTGCCTCAACTTGGAGCACAAAAAATTTTCGTGCGCTCCTTTGGGCATTAGCTTCTGGAAGGAGTATCCTATCCCCAGTCACCCTCTGTGCCTGGAGGCATTGGGTATGGATAAGAGTAGTGGAAAGAATGTGTTTTATTGAAAAGGAGGCCCAGGGTCTGTATGCTCCCTCTCCCCATGTAGT